GTCATCTTTAAAGAAGAACTCCGAGCACACACTTTATTAACCCTTGCAGTGGGGTTACCAGGCACTGCAAGGTTTAAGTGCTTGTTTTTGCCCTTTTTTTGTAATAAAACCAGGCACTGCAAGGTTTAAGTGCTTGTTTTTTTTTTTTTTTTAATTCCAAAAACATGTTTCAGGAGTGAGTTTACTCAAATGGTTGCTAAAGCATGTTTTTGGAATAAAAGAGCTGGCTTATTCTAAAGTTAAATTAACCCTCTGCTAACCCATATGAATCCAACATTGTGTCAATCTTGTTCTTCCTACACATTACAGTGTTCGCTCAAGGTGCTTTGAGTCCCTTTTGTGTTAGAGAGCTGCCTACAAAGTCTTTTGTGCTCGCAGTACGGACATATTCCATCGAGGAACTAAACCAGTTTTGGATCTAGTGCCTCATATCTACATTTTCTGTTTAGTTTTTTTTTCCAAGCGATGCTTGTGCAGCTGATATTATTATGAATAGACAGTAGTTTTTATTCTTGGTCTTCCTTCCATCTCTTTGCAGAAGAGGCAGGGGTTCAAACAAGCTGCTAAAGTTCTTAAAAAACAGGCCCATAATGTGCTGGTATTCACAGAATATTAGCACATCATGGCAGACTTATCTGCCCAACCAATCCTCTCCAGTGCTGCACTCTCTCCCTGGCTCTTGCATCTTTTCCCTGGTCTTATTCTGGGTTTTAAGTGGGCGACCCCAATGTCATAACTCATGTGTGCATACTTCATCTTGGCATACCGGGTCTGTATGCTCAATTGTGAATGCATATCTCAAAGTACAGAAAAAAAATCAATATCTGAATGATAGAAATCTTATATGGCAAAAGGAACTTAAGCTGGGTATAACCGGTATACACAGTGCTTGCTTTTTTGTTAAAAAGCTGGCTTAATGAAAAAAAAATAGAACAGATTCCTTCATCAACGCTTACAAGCATTGATGGGTGAATCCCCCGCTTCTGCTGTCAGAATACCTGAACAGAGCTAGCGACTGATTGGTTGCTACCTCTGTTCAGAATTTGACCAGCTGACTGAAGGATACCAGGTGGAAGGGTGACGACAGCGGCACCCACGCAGCAAAATTCGAAGGGTGTATAGCCTACTTTACACAGTCTCTTCTGCCATAGAAAAGCAGTCAATTGGCAGTTTTCTTTGCAACTGTTAACTGTGTATACCACACACATAGGCATTTGCTGCTGTTTCTGTCTTGCCACATAACACATGTGCAAAGCTTTTGATCAATTAGGGAAATTTAAAAATCAATGCACACATTGAAAACAGTTCTTTATATATCCTATAAGCTACCAATGTAGTTCTTGTATGCTTTCATGTGTTTTTATCATGACATGGATAAAGGTCCCTATTCTTTTATCAAAGATATGTTATTATAAATAGAATTGCATTTTCTAGATTCTTTGATTGGTGCTTTTGATAGTAAATACAAACTAAATAATACATTACAAGCTTTATTATTTGAAGTATTGACATCCATATCTTTATGAATTGACTACTTTAATAATGTTAAAAAGGTAATTTTTGGCAATTTGCAAAAACTATATTGTGAAGGTTATAGATGGTGAAAACAGTGGCAATCCTATTGAAAGTGAGAAATACATTGCTGAACTGGTGACGATGAGATATCAGGCTCCCAGTGAGGCACAAAACAACCAGGGTCACTTCTTGATTCAGAGCTTTGGAAATATACATGAAGCATAATGCTGGGTTCTACTGTAATGGCTTTTTTGTGTAAAATACAAAAGCAGTCAATGGCATAATAATCTGTGTGAATGAATTGTATAGACCTTTTTTATGACTCAGGCTGAACCAGCTAAACGCTTCTGTGTATCTTCCAGGTAGTTCTATAGTGTATATCCTACTCATGCACATATATTGACATTGCTAAGCAAATATGACTGTGACGCTAGAGAAAGTGACATTAGGGCCGGTGTCTGGGTGACAGAAGATTACCTGGCTTACTAAACACATGCAGAGGAGGAGACTGCACTATATGTTCTGTGCACTAGGTCTTCCGCTTTGCTGCCTTCCGTGCCTTGCAGCAAGGGATTAAAGTATTTATGCTCTCTAGAGAACATCACCTCCACATTATCACAGGTCAAACACCCTCCCAGGCTCGTCATTAGTAGAATCTAAGGTTACATATCACTTCCAGAATGGCCGAGATCTACTCTAAGAATTGCCCACTCCTTGACAAAGAGAAAAATATATATTTCATAACAAATTTCACAAAAAAACTGTCAGCGCTGTCTTGAGCAATCAATCCCTTTTTATCTTCCTTTCCAATCATATAGTTAATTGGTCGTGAATTCAAATTTAAGGAGGTGCAGTCAAATTTTAATCGAGCAGAGGTTCGAATCATAGTCCGAACAGAACAGTAACTCAGTCTGTATTCATACCGCGGTCTGCCATATAGACTTCAAACACAGCAGCATCTACACTACAACACACAAATGCTGGTGTGTGGTGTGTGTTCCCAGGCACAGTGCTGATGCGCCGATCCTGTTGCATCACACTGTTTATTTATCTTTATTGTTATCTTTCTGCTTCATTCATCACTGAGCAGATCAGGGAACGGACGTTCCTCGGTCTGCTCCCACTCTCCATCCTGACATCCTCTGTCGAGGGTCCTCCAGAGGAGCGGGGGATCCAAAAAACAATGACAGGGGTGGAGGAGGCCCTGCCTAACGTCATTGATTGCTAGGACATCAGCAGTCCTAGCTACCAATGACTGAAGCTGAGGTGGGGGCTGGCATTGGATTCATCTGTCTCTAGGAGTCGTGGCTGTGATAATCTTGCAATGCCTCATGGGATTTGTAGTTGGAGTGCCGGAGTTTGCACACCCCTGAACTACAGTAAAGTCTTAACAAGCCCAGCTGTCTTTTCAAGCTTCTTTTTCTTTAGAGAATTCCTCTGTATTTTCCCTTGTTATGTTATTTTCTTCTCTCACAACCACAGCCACATTACTCTCTGCTTTTGCCTTGTTCCCAGGGGTGCATTTATCAGTGCCTTTGATAAGATATCTTTCCATTGTTCCATAACTTCTTAATCATTTGCCAGCAGCCTTTCTCTTATGCTCAATGCATTTTAGTGGACATTCATTCTATGGTCTCTTGTTTAAAGAAAATGTAATAAAAATAAACTAGCTTTTGGTTTTTACAAAGCCTTTTTCCAAAAATTTCCCAATTTTTTTCCATGACATTTGCTTAGCAGCGTTTACATTTTCCTTAATGGCAGCTTTTTGTCCCTTATACTCTGAGAACGTTTGTTTATTCCTATTATTAAGATGTTCGTTTCACAGAATTTTACCTCCTTCTTCTTTCTGCATTATTCTGTAGTATTCAGCTTATGTATTGATCATTCTAAACCAGTTATAACACTGCTACTCTTCTTTAGTTGCACCTTATGTTGTGTTCTTACTTAATAGATCTTTATGCTCCTTCTGTACTCATGGGCCTTTAAGCTGAACCCTGCCTCAGCTGATGTTCTTTAAAGGGTTTCTTTTCCTTTTTTTGTTTTGCCTTCGTGTACTAAACTGTGATGATCCTTCCCAATATCTCTGCTAATTTTAACTCTTGCATCCCTGGTGAACTTGAGAATGTGTCTTTGAACACTATCGATTCTTTTATAGATCTCTAGGCATCCTATTAATGTTGACTTCTCATTTCTTGTGTTCTGTGAGAGCTCACGGGACTCCTCTGTGTTTTGTGCATTTACGGTCACTTAGTCCATCCACTATGACAATATAGACAACCATCTTATCTTGCAAAATATTTACCAACATGATGTGCTTTTACTGAAAAGCTTCTAACTTCTATCATCTCCATAGTCATGAAACACCCAGTTCTGTCCTCAACTGGAACTCCATGTAAAGAAGAAAGTGGTACTCTTAGGTTTCTGTGTCTCCCTTGCAAGTACAGTTTCCTCTAAACTGAGAGCAACATTACATGTTGCATAACTAATTGTCCTCAATCCTTTTCACTTTGTCATCTTTAAGGCCAACTTATTTTTGCTTTCTTTCTTTTTATAATTGAACTACAATGATGGTAGGGAATAGAATATATAAGTGCAGGGAAGGACTACCTCCTTTTCCTCACTGTACCAGCAAATTTTTTTATCAGGGTTTGGGGATAGGATGGCTTTTTTATGCCTATAGAGCCATCCCCTGCGTTTTATGAACTGCTGTTTGTATGATCCATGCTCTTCAAACTTTCTTCCTTGGGTGGCCCTACCGGAACATAACCCAGCATTGCTATGTGAGGCACGGCAGGGTACTAAAAATGCAGCAGGAGGGGCAAGTTGTAATCCTGGTGCTAGTCTGAGCCAGCAGGAAGGTCTTACCATAAAAACCTCAAAATCTATGAAAACTAATTAAATAAGTCAGGCCCCACAGACTTTTTCTCCACATTTACATGCAGACTAAAATGTTGGTCATCTTACACAAGACAGTAGCAAGTGTGATAGAGAAAATTATAAATATATACTCAGTTATTTATGTTTTTACATTTCGGAAGCTTAAAGTGACACTAAACCCAAGAGTTGAATTATTATTATTATGCAGGATTTATATAGCGCCAACGATTTGCCCAGCACTTTTCAATATAAGGAAGACATTACACTTACAATACAGTATTCACCAATAACGCAAATACCAGTTTTTTATTAGCTAAACTGCTGAGTATATAACTAGAGGATATAACAATATTTATATTAACTATTGAGTGTATTAGCAAGCTGTTTTGCAAGTTAAAATAACCCTCTTTTTTCATTTTTAAGAAAATATATTCAAAAAGAGTGGATCCAAAGATGCTTTACTTTGTGGAAACAACAGTGATGCTGGGTAAGTTCTTTTTTCAATACACATCACAGTTTGTTCAAATGCCAAATTGAATTTTCAGTTATCATTATAAACTTAGCAAATATTATCCTTCTCATTTTTAACAAAGAAGTATGGACGAATCAATCGAATATTATACCAAATGATCATTATGAAGTATGCTTAATGCACTATACTCAACCTGCTTCCATCAACTCAGTATTTTGTGCTGAAGGCTTTAACCTTTGTATCCACGCAGTCCCATGGGAGCTTTTGCGGGTTTCTTTGGTTGATTATGAGGTATGAGTTTTGGTGGAAAATTGCCATATAGGTACCAGATATCAAATCTCATGCCATTTAATGAAGCAGAGTTAAAAGTAAAAGCAACATATCTTCCATGTCACTGCTAATCTTTGGATGTTGTAGTTATACAGAAAGATCTTTAACTTGGTAAGGTATTAATTAAAAGTATGGGCTTTCCATGGCAACTAGACAAATCAGGTAAGCCATCCTATCCTCAAACCCTGACAAATAAAAACTGTTTTGCAATGATAGGAGGTAAGTATTTGATCTTATAATGCAATACAAATCTAGGTCACATATGTACTGTACAGCATCAACACACAGATAGAAGGCCTCATTTACGTATTAATTTTATGCAAAATATATGGAGGTGTTTATACCTTTTGCAAAAAAAAACATATCAGTGTCAGGCCAACATATCAGTGTTTACCAACCCTGCATTGTAAAGTAGTTTTTGGGCTGACTGCTCATATGTTAAATCCTTGGTAGAATGAATTTATTCAAAAACATTATTGCTGTGCTTTAATAACAGGTTTTGCTAAGGTGATCATTGTTTCTAACCAATAACATATCCAGGCACAAAGCTCCAAAATCTGGTATTAGGGAACCAGGAATGTTGCCAACTGTGGGCAAACAACAAGATGATATATGAACAACAGTTCTGGAAAGGAGAACCTTCCTATAAGAAATATGTGAAAATCTATTGTAGAATTGCGGGCACAGTGGTTGCAGCTTTGTTTCCTCTTGCATCCCTGAGATGTATCTTGGGGTCTTGAAATATTTTTGCATGCCTCTGGTCACTTCTGTCAGTCGCAGTCTGGACCTTTTCCTGTGGTCAACATTGCGTTATCATGGGTACACTTTTTTTGCTATTATTGCAATAACATAATTGCTGTACCAGCCCAAAGAAGCTTGGTTGTGTTTTAGCAAAATTTTGCATCAGAAATTGCTTGGGTTGTGCCACTTTCCACTTGACATATGTTGTAATAGGTATGTTTTCTTTTTATTGTATCCATTATTTCTTGTTAACTGTGCACTCAGTGTAGTTCCTGAACCTTAATGGATCTTAATAAATCATCACTGGCAAGACTGATTTTGTCCCTATTTTAAGTGAAATTTAATAGATCTGGATAGTTTTAAGTAAAGGGGAATGGAAAGTGGAAAATAAGAAAAGTATATAGGACCAGTATGTATTGTAAAGATAGTGTTGAAGGATGTGGATGGCTAAAATGCTCATGACATTACGGTGTAAGTGTTTAAGATTGATTCAAAATCAAATAAAAAGATATTCTAGAAAAAAAATATATATCTGGATAGGTTAACTGCTGGGAGACATAAATAAATACTTAAACCACTAAAAATATAATACAAAGAGCCCCTTTGCTACCTGCCTAAAATAAATGTATTTTATGCTGCAATCAAGACAGAGCCAAACTTGTATATATTTAGCCTCTATAAAATACTTGCTAACACTGCAGGTTACCAAGGTGAAGTGACTACCTTAAATACACATTGCAGAACACATTTCCCTTGGGACACCTTTCTTTTTTTCTTACTAGCCACTGCTTTTTTCTAAAATTTATGTAAGGTAAAAATGAATATTATATATGTATTACTGGAATGAGCTAAATTAATTCAGTTTATTTTATTAAGTATTCCTTCATTTATTTGTTCAATTACTAGCCCCACATTCTATTGGGATAGCAGGGTATATAGGCCAAGCATGCTTGCCCCAACATACCCAAACTTCTCTCCACCCTTTCCTGGAGGACTCCAATAAGTTACAATGGCAACCAGGAGATATAGTCCTGGCAATACGTGGCCACGATGTCTCCTCCTACTGCATTTAAAAAAACATTACAAATATTAAAAGCCCTACATTTGGTTAAGGTCTTTTCATTTGCCATGCCTTCTTTGTTCTCAACAGGAAATGTCCAGAAGGTTTTCTGTGTCTGAAAGTTGGTAGAAATCCCAATTACGGCTACACTAGCTTTGATACTTTTGGATGGGCTTTTCTTTCTCTGTTCCGACTTATGACACAAGACTATTGGGAGAACTTATATCAACAGGTATGTTTTCATTTCTTTGCTATGAAAAAGGTTGGTCATAAATGACCCAAGAATGCCATGACCCACCCTGACAGATCAGGGGAGAATCTGTTAATTTAAGTCCACCCCTAGGAAGTTATAACAAGTACAATGTTGTACTTTCAAAGTCTGAAGAGCCTGTTTTTGTACATAGAGATTTATTAACTTGTTGAACAATCGTACATGCGAGGCTGAAAAGTGGCCCCAATTCATTGCTCACAGAGCGAGGGAAGGTATTAACGTCACAATACTGCCTAAGCCTATTGCATGAGATATGGTGTGACTGGTAATGCTATAGATATTATACATATTCCTCCTGTCATTTGTTCTTGCAAAGACATTTGTCTGTCCATGGGAGCTATCATTTCATTATCCTTCTAATACCCAAAGAGCACTATATGCATGTAGTTGTAAAAGGCTGTATTTTAAACTTCAGAATATTAAGCATGGGACAAACCATCTGACAGTCAAGAAGTCAAGAAAACTACACAGGTATGACCAACATAGTCCTTCATTAACATAGAAAACACTTAAATTAGCAACAGTAAGGAATACAATATTGAGAAATTCTTGACAATGGTCACCGTACTTAAAATTTTGTTAACTGTTGTTCTATCTTTTCAGACTCTCCGAGCTGCAGGGAAGACATACATGATATTTTTTGTGTTTGTCATCTTTTTGGGTTCTTTTTATCTTGTTAACTTGATCCTTGCTGTGGTTGCCATGGCTTATGAAGAGCAGAACCAAGCCAGCATTGCTGAGGCTGAAGCAAAAGAAAAGGAGTTCCAGCAAGCCATGGAACAACTGAAGAAGGAGCAAGAGGTTATTACATAAAGTCAATACAGCATACTAGAGATTAAATCCCAAATTAACTTCCAGTTTAAGTCAAATGAATACATTCCAGATGCATAAATCCAAAAGTTATTTCTTTAGTCAGCAGAGGGCATATCGGACCTCTGTAGAGAGGCCATTGCTTCCACACAAAGAGCAGGGGGCCTTCTCTCTTTTTAATTAGGCTGTGGCTGCTTTCTAAGGCGAACAAACCTATTTACAATGTAATTTTTGTGCATTGCATCATGGTGCATTGTATTGGAAAAAATGCTGCATGTTTGTATTTTTACCTGTTTTTGTGCATTTGCATCCCATTTAAAATGAATAGACTCCCTTAAAGTGACATTAAACCCTTAGATTTTTTAACATAAAACAATACTGTAATGTGCACCTTACTGTAATCCATGGTTGTTTCCCTTCTCTTTGCTGCTCTACCTTTTAAATCCGTATCTGTTCTCATGCTCTGCAGAACTTCTGTTTTTGCCTTGTCTCAGGAATGGATACACGGTGTCTGTGTATACGTTTCTATAGACTTGTAACCTGAGTCAGCACTACAGGAAGAGGCCCTGAGCTGAAAAGGGAAGTTGTCTCCAAGCATGAGTAGACATGAGGATTTAAAAAGGAAGAGCAGCAAAGAGAAGGGAAACTACCATGGATTACAGTAAGGCACACATTACAGTATTGGTTTATGTTAAAAAATCTGAGGGTTTAATGTCACTTTAACTTAACGCATGTTAACACACAACGTGTTAATGTACCACACCACAGTGAAAGTGTGTTTCTGTCTAAGACTGTGCACACCTTTTGTTTTAAAGCACCTGGAATATTTTTAGATGACTTAAACTACAAGTTCAGTTAAGTCTTAAAAGAACATCATATAAATGTATTCACTTATAAAGAAATGTGAGCATATCCTGGAATCTAACATTGTTATGTGGCAGCCTTGCATATAATTACATAGTTGCACCTGTATAACAATGAGGCAATTTATCTACTGGGCCCCCACCTCCTCACTCTTCTTCCTATCAGCCATATGACCCCCTCTCTGAGAATGGCTTCTTTACTGTTGCTACCGCTTCGTTGTCCTGTATTCCTGTCCTGTTTCCACAAAATACTTGTGTCAAGAATGGGCATTATAGTTGTGGGGTGCTACATCATTATAATTGCTCAATAACACCCACCAATTTGAATGACATATGACTTCAATTGGACTTTAACACTGCCTAGAGAACCAATATAAATGAAATAATTTTGCAGTCTCTGATAGTCCTAAGCAGTGGGCTTTGTCTCTGTTTTTTTGCTACAGGCACTTGCAAGCAAAGGACTCGATGGTGGGTCTCACAGCTCCTGTGAAATGTCACCATTCAGTTCCAAAAGTGCCAAAGAAAGGAGAAATCGTAGAAGAAAAAAAAAATCCTCAGAAGTTGATGAGTATAATGACGATGCAAGAACTCACAGAGGAGAGTCTGATGAGGAGAGTATACGCAAAATGGTAACTTTATTTTCTGAATTACACTTCAGTCTAATTTAGTAAACAGTGTACATGAGAAGTAAAGCCAGCCATAGGTGGAATAGTTCTCAGTTACAAACTTTTCATTTGGTTGATACATGTGTATGAATATGGTGTATCCTGTGATGGTTCAGCACTTCAACAGCCTTGCTTTCTCTTGTGTTGCCTCACCATGCTGATTCTGTGTGTGTGTG